TACTTTATTATTGAAACATAATCTTTGTTGCCAAATCAATTTAATTTTAGAATTTCAAATAATGTTTTGAAATTAAAATGAGATGTGTCTAATTACTTGAAGCTCCAAACTGTTATTCCAAAAAGAACTAAAATGAGAGTTCATGTTAACACTGGAAACAAAGCACATAGATAAGCTAACGTGGATAAACAATTGTTAACTTGCTTGGCAACGTGGACCCAATTGACCAACCTGTTTAGTGGAAACCGTATAGCAATAAATAATAGTGCGTATTTGAATGAACAGAACAAAATCGCAAATTAAATTGCGCCAGAGATAATTTAAATGTTACTAGAAAAATTAGTTCAATGAAGCAGAGAAGTATAAAAGTAATTGATTTGTAATGCATATTGAATACTAATAATAAGTTGTGATTGGGATTTCAAAAGATTAATGGTTCTAGGATAATTTTAGTCTATTCCTATATTCACTAAAAAGAACATGGAAATACAATTGTGAGGACAAATATGGCACAGACTTACTGCTGCTTGTTGTTGTTAATAAGTTACCATTCTCTGAAGAAAGAACATAATATCAATGCCTAAACTGTCATTTAAAAAATGATCTCTTAATTCTTCGTCACGAAGTATTTCAACAAAATAATTACTTCCAACTTCTCATTTCTCTCACTTGTTGATTCTAAATCGCACTCCCTCAGTAATTCCATTTTGATTACTGTAATTTCTATGGTAAAATATTCCAAATTCGGTGAATCCGAAATTGTTTAAAACTTTGAAGCTTCATTATTTAAACGAATATTTATTTATTTCAAATGGCAGGCATTATGATAGGTATCATTAACCCTTTAGTTGACTTCAGGCTTCACAGAAAGGAAGATAAACAGTAAAGTGGCAAAACGTCAAGAGGAGGACAGAATAATGATTCACAGACGTAAAAGAGACAGACAGACACAAAGGTAGAAAAAGGTGAGGTGAGTACTGTAAAATTATTCGAATATGAAGTGCAGTGGGGTCTTGGTAGTTTGAAGTCAGAAGTCAACTGCCGAATAATAGACTTTTTTGCCGTATGAGTATACGTTGCCCAGGGTGCACCACGTGGAGGCAAGTCTATCGCACACCCCATTTAAACGAATATTATATTGCGAGAAAATAATCTTTTTTCAAACTTGAAAATAATTCATTCGGGAAAAATTGTGCTTATGGTATTATTATTTCATTAAAGCTCAAAGCAAATAAACTTAGAATTTCAGGTACAAATAAAAATTTACTGCACTATACAAATTGAAACTTACTTCTACACTCGACTACATCAGGTGACTCGCCTACAGTAAAAAGGGATTTTAAATATAAAAGTAAATCAATTAACTTTGAAATGCAAGTGCAAAAATACCTTCTTTCTCCCAATAAACACTTATTCCTACAGCTGAGTTTCGGTTTCCAAAAACAAAATGGCTTTTATTTTCCATGCCGTTTCGTTCATACACAAGTGTGTAATCTAGACGATTTTCAGCCGTGTTATGTACCAAATTTTCTGTAATTCGAATATTTGAAACAAGGATGGTTTAATTGAACAATAATTTTGTTTGTAATTACTTACGACAATATTTCGAATCATAGCCAGAACGATGAATCATTCCAGTCCATTCACAAATAGTTTTATTACCCAAATACAAATAACTCTTAAACAGAAAATATATAATTTATTTTGATAAAACTAGCGTAGGAAAATTAGAAAATTATCAGAAAAGTCAATTTTAATAGTTTAATCTAATACAAGATAGCATGAAAGCACAATTAATTGAAATAACACACCCTTGAATCGTAATTCGATCCATTTATAGACATTTTTATCTCAACAGTCCTCATTCCTTTTAGAAAACGTGCAAACGGAAACGATGCTTCCAGTATCACATCTCCTAAATAAAAGAACAAGAATATTAACAGCATTAATCATTTTTTTATTCTACTTCAAACATTATAGTCATAATGCTGTCATTTTAAGCATTTAGCTACTACAAACCTGGCTGTGTGGGCTCGAACACACATTGTGGGACAAATGTAGCCACACATGACAAACCGAAAAAATCGACAATCAATTGTGTAATGTAATGTCCGAAATCGTAATATTGACATAATCTAAATAAAGTTTGGCAAGTAAATGTCTGAATGGCACCCAGGTAATCGTTACCAGACTTTCGATAACAGGGCCTCCCAATCGGTATTTTACCCATCCAACAAGTTTCATTTTCAATATGGATTAAAACATCTTGGGGATGGATCCAAGGCAAAATCTAGTAAAAGGTGCAGAATTTAAGGCAATCAGGCAAATAAGTTAATATATACTCGAGTTCCGGGTATAGAAAACACCAATGGTTGCGATTTCTTACTTTGTGTTGCGACAATTCTCGAACATGTAGAATCTGGTAATTCTATACCATCTTGTGCAAAGTTAAGATTTATTAGCAACAAGTTTAAAACGACAAGATTGATCATGATTTGCCAAGATATGTGCTTCAAAGTAAATCACAGGTTTATCCTTCTATTTATATATAATTTAATTGCGTCAGTGCACTTGTTTAGAATGCAATCTGGGGTCCTTTCATTGCTTTTCATAAAAGGACTTTTGTAACAAAGAAAAAACATGTCTAAACTTGTTTAAGTAAGTTCAGTGCTTTCTGTTATGTTATCTTAAATTAATTGATTTCCACTTTCAATATTTGAAATGGTCAATGACCTTTATTTAGGCTGATGTCTGACCATAGGCCTTTTTTTCATAAAATAAGCACAATGGGTAAAACAATATATGTATTACATATTACCCTTAAAAACAATTAATGAAATAGCAAAGTTAGTTTAGGGCATTGATAATGAAGCAGTTAGAGGTATCTCAATTCGTTATCAACAGTCATGTTGTGTATCATTGTTGCAGTTGACCAGGAATATACTTTTCTATTCCTTTAAAATATGATTTTAACTTTCATAATTTTAGCACATTTAATACATTTTATAATTGTATTCGCTTTTCCGTAAATATCCAGATCATCATAATGCAATCATCTGTTATTGACTAATAAATATGTCACTTGCTCAGTCAATTTTAACCATATTTCTCTTCGTCTCTATTATGTCACAAGAATTGTCAGCCGTGATTTATTCCCTTAACTAAACAAGAACGGGCTTGAGCATGCACTTTGGGACAACAGTAGATATGTTTGAGTTAATGGAATCACAGACAATTAGTAGATTGTATTTGGTTGTAATGAAAAAACTAAGAAACAACGCAGCCTGATCTAATACAGGGCCATGGAACTGAAGAAAGCATTACAAATCGATGAAAAACCAAAAAGCTCCCCTCTACACATGAACCCATTAGCAGAAACCGATGAAGCTCCCCTCTACACATGAACCCATTAGCAGAAACCGATGAAGTGTGCTGTCCCAACTGCTTGACTACTTCAGGAAATCAAACACCCCTCAAGAAAAAATGCGCTCACTGGCTCTTGAGACAATCAATGCCAACTCTCCTGGAGATTAATGGCTCCAAGTCTTCACTGATGGGTCATACATAGAAAACTAAGCAAACGTTGGGGCAGGTGTCTACTCTGAACTTCTCTCTTAAGAGAAGGTAATATTTGGACTTAAAACTTTGTGCAAAAACAGATTTTATTTGTAATATTCTATACAAACTAAAAATCGTGTGAAATTTTTTCCCAGACAAATCCACAAAAACATAAGATTAAATTGAGTATATGCAAAACCTTGAATGATTATGACCTGAACCAACCAAACATAATCGTTGACCTCAAAATGCGTTTCATTAAGAAATTTTAAGGATGTGAAAGTTATGAGCTTTCTCATTTGAAAATTTGTTTAGGAATTTTTTACCCTATTGTTCCCCTTTTCTTGAAATTTGAGGTTCAAATGAATTTAAACGAAGGGAATAAAATTCAGATAAAGACGATTTATGCAATTGTGGAATATATTTATTTATTTATTTCAAATGGCAGGCCTTATGATATTTATCATTAGCCCTTAAACTTTGACTTCAGCTTCCCCCAAGAGGAAAGGGGTACATTTATAGCAGTTAACTAATAGCAGTTCATTACACCCAGGGGTGGGGGGTGCATATATAGCAGTTAATTAATAGCAGTTCATTCTATCATTAGCCCTTAAACTTTGACTTCAGCTTCCCCCAAGAGGGGGTGGGGTACATACATGTAGCAGTTAATTAATAGCAATTCATTAGCTGTCTTCTTGCGGCAGTTAATTAATAGCAGTTCATTAGCAGTCTTCTTGCTTACCAGTATTTTTGGCTTTCCGTCCTTGTCTTTAGGGCTGGACGAGTAAGGTGCGTCTTCTCCATTTCCTCCTGCAGGTTACATAGGGGGCATGATACCATTTCCTCCTGTAGGTTACATAGAGGGCATGTGGGTTTCCTTGTCTTTAGGGCTGGACACCGAATCAGGTGGGTCTTCTGTCGTCCCTCTTCTTGCTTCCCAGTATCTCTGGCTTTCCGTCGTTGTCTCGTCTTGCTTCCCAGTATCTCTGGCTTTTTTTTGCTTCCCAGTATCTCTGGGTTTCCGTCGTTGTCTTTAGGGCTGGACACCGAATCAGGTGGGTCTTCTCAAATGTAGGTTACATAGAGGGCATGTGGGTTGAGTGTATACGTAGGTTACGAAGGGCATATGGGTTGAGTGTATACTCCCAATCTGTGAAGGGGGCATGTGGGTTGAGTGTATACTCCCAATCTGTGAAGGTCCATGTGGGTTGAGTGTATACTCCCAATCTGTGAAGGTGTACATGTGAGTTGAGTGTATACTCCCAATCTGTGAAGGTGTTTATAGGCAATCGTGTTCGGTACGTAGTCTAAACTCATCAACGGTTGTCCAGTACGTAGTCTAAACTCAGCAACGGCTCGTATACTCCCAATCTGTGAAGGTGTTTTGCCAAGCAATCGTTAGGTTACATAGAGGGCATGTGGGTTGAGTGTATACTCCCAGGCTACATAGAGGGCATGTGGGTTGAGTGTATTCTCCCAATATACCGAATCAGGTGGGTCTTCTCCATTTCCTCCTCTACGTTACATAGAGGGCATGTGGGTTGAGTGTATACTCCCGGGAGGCTACATAGGGGGCATGTGGGTTGAGTGTATACTCCCAATCCAGAGGGCATGTGGGTTGAGTGTATACTCCCAGTCTGTGAAAGGGCATATGGGTTGAGTGTATACTCCCAATCTGTGAAGGGGGCATGTGGGTTGAGTGTATACTCCCAATCTGTGAAGGTCCATGTGGGTTGAGTGTATACTCCCAATCTGTGAAGGTGTACATGTGAGTTGAGTGTATACTCCCAATCTGTGAAGGTGTTTTGATAGGCAATCGTGTTCGGTACGTAGTCTAAACTCATCAACGGGGCAATCCTGTCCGATACGTAGTCTAAACTCAGCAACGGCTTCGATTCTCGCCAGCCGGGTATGTCGGAGAGTGCCACTGTCCACTATTTCTCCTACTATGTCGGAGAGTGCCACTGATCCACTCTTTCTCCTTTGTTCGAGCTCTGAGTTCGTTGAACCTTGAGGTCTGGAATT